GCCGTAAACAGTTTATTTTGCGACACCACGAAACAAACGGCAGCGTAAAATGAAACGATAGACGTTTTTATATCGTTATATCGAACAGCCCTATGTGAAGGTGACATCTATTCATCCTCACTGATTTAAACAAAAGAAAACTGAATGACAGATACTCTCTGAAAGGTTTGAATACTACAGATGCCTCTTACATCCTGAGAGTCCATTTCCTGTGTTTGTCCAATGCAGTGCAGTGTTTTCATCACACTGGTATGAGTTGGTGTTTCAGCTTCTGTGGCAGGTGCACTCTTGCACACAGAGGACACTTCGTGCACTCGCTCATGAGGACGGAGCAAAATTATCACAAACAGCTTGTCTACTGTCGTTCACCATGATGGTGTTAAAAGCTCCATCCAGCATTTTAATTTTCTGTGGTCTCTGCATTTCTTGTATTCACGAATAATTCCCATTGTGGAGAATGTAATAGTCCAGTATCCTTCCAGACTCCAACCGAAGGCCTTTTCTAGGGTCTTCATCAAAAGGAAACAGACCATAATCTGAAACCTGTCCATGTTGAGCTGGTCTCTGATGATCAGTAGGACTGTAGACAGCTGCTGTCAAAGCAACTTTCTTGACTAATTTTCTTGCCAGGCGATATGGACCTCCACCTTATCCATCCATCCACTTCCAGTTATCCTTTTCAGGGTGGCACTGGGGGCACTGGAGCCTATCCCAGCTGTATAAGCTAGACCTTATAGCTGAGAAAAATCCAGCCTTGGATATCTACTGATCCTCACAACTTCCTGAGCCCTGAGAGGACTCCCATCACCCACGAGTCCTGCTCCTCTACATGTAATAAATGTAATATTGCAGGTTGTTCTTACACATATACACTTACTGTGAAAACACTCACCTGATGAATTTGTGCTCTCAATACATCTTTAGATTTGTTTTGAATTCAGACACGAGATCATCTTACACTATCTGCTGCAGGCTGGATGCTTTAAAATAGCAAAATCTGAACTTTGTGACTCTGTGGCTCCAATGTAAGACTTTGAATATCATGTAATCCAAGGTTAGTCCAAGTGTGTACATCTTTACTCATAGTATGAAGTAAACAACATAAAGTAATTTATTTCTCCTTTCATTTGTTACGTTTTCTTATATTTATACTGATTGATGAACTTTTGGATAAAGTGTGTGAATGTGTGGATGACTGAACGTGTAAAGCGCTTTGGGGTCC